ACTATGATAATGTTTTCTTTTCCAATATACATTGTCTTTTGTGTAGAGATATTAAGGCACTAGTTATGGTTTTACCCAGCCAACTTTTGGATTTTTTATGTTGGATACAAATGATTTTTCTTCTTTTTAGCTTTTTAGATTTAAGTTTTTAGGGGGTGTATTCAATCAAAAATTTTAATTTGTTTCAACAAATTATTTGTTATTAAATTATGAATTTTAAAAAGTCTTCTAAAATTTAGTGTTATTGAACTAGTGATTTGAAAAAGTACTTTAAAATTCATTGTTGTTGAAAACGTTTTAAGCATTGGATTCTTAATAACTTCAAGAGATTTTAAAAAACTTTCCGAGTTAAAAACACACAAATCTAATGATACGAGCCAAAGCTTCTTTTGCCTTAGCTCGAATAAGAGGACCTAAATACTCTGAATCCGTGATGTTTAAGAATGAAAACGATAAAGCTAGCTTCCTTTAAACCAAATCTCTCTTAGAAAATTAGGTTAATTGTTGGAAGTTGTTTCTTATTGATGATCAGAGTCCTTTATATAGACCTTACAAACCGACCTATTCCTAAATTAAGAGGAAATTAACAAAACCATAATAATAATTCTATAAAACACCAATAACCGTATCATTACTCTCCTCCTCGACGTGGAGCTTGTCCTCAAATTTAAGTTTATTACACAAATTTAGTAGTTTTTGTTAACATTAGATTGAAGATGTATTTTCATTATTGATTGTGCATAATAAATAATTAGAAAGAAAAAAATCTGAATCCACTAAAATATTATATTTGGTTCATTTGTAACTATTGATTCAACCAAATGTTAGTATAGTAGAGCCAAATATTGAGTTAAACAAAATTTAGGTAGAGGAAAGTGAAAATCTCTAATGGAGAGAGAATACCCGTTTTACTTCATTTTGTTCTCTATACACAATGCATGATGGATGAGTATGAACGGAGTTTGATGAAAGTTGAAACTTCGTCAAATTAATCATACTTTTACATAAATTCAAATTCTCTATTTGACTTCTTAGATTCACTTATACGCCTTTTAAATCACAATCAACTTCTTCCACTACAAGAAAACATAGCCATTTCCGAGGAAAATTTCTGACGAAATGTTTGGTCGGAAATTTTCCGACAGGTTTCCGACGAGTTTCCGAAAAGATTCCAAGGAAAAATAAATTCGTCGGAAAATTGTCGGAAAAAAAGAAAAATTTCCGACGATCACAAATTCGTCGGAACTTTGTCGGAAGGATTCATCGGAAAACATGGAAAATTACGACTATTTAATTTTGTCGGAAATTGGTCGGAAATTGGTCGGAAACTTGTCGGAATACTCGTCGTAAATATTAGGTGAACACATGTTTATTCACTGCACATTTTCCGATAAAATTCCGACGCTTTGGTCGGAAATATAAATCGGAAAAATCGTCAGAAATTATTAGTTTAAACCTTTAATATTTCCGACGAAGTTCCGACGAAATTTAAGTCGGAAAGTTTTGTTAGTCGGAAATTTGTCGGAAATATGTCGGAAATTATTTCTTTAATCATTTTTATTTTCAAAAAAATGAAAAAATAAATAATTTATAATAAATAAATAATTAATTTCGTCGGAAAGTCGTCAGAAATATTATTTTGAATTTTTTTTGAAAAAATTAAATAATTTATAATTAACTAAATAATTAATTAATAATTAATTTCGTCGGAAATTCGTCGGAAATTTCTACGTTCGTCGGAATTTTGTCGGAAAATTTATGATTTTTCATGTTCCCGCCTTTGTACATTCAATTCAAATGAATTTACCGCGTTTTGTAGTTTCCGACAAATTTCCGACGATATACATCGTCGGAAATTTTTTCTATATATAGCAAATGAGTTTCCATCCTTTCCACAATTCCAAACACAACAATCTCAATCTCTATTAACAACTTCTTCTCTCTACATCAAACATCATTCCTTTGTTGACAAAAAAAAACAAAACATCATTCCTTTTTTTTAAAGTTCAACATTTTTATTCTCTTCTTCAATTAATAGAGACATTTATGTATTTATATATTTATTCATTTTAATTAATTTAATTTTAATTCTCATTTGTTGATAATGAAAATTGGTTATGTGACGATTAATCTATTTTTGTAGATATTCAATAATTATTTTAATTTTAAGTATAATACTCTTATTTGTTTTTTTTTGTTTTTTTTTTTAAATAGAAAAGTTGTCGGAATTTTGTCGGAACTAATTTTGGTATATATTTATTTTTATTTTAAAAGTGGTCGGAAATTTCTGACGAATTTCCGACCACTATATGAATAGTCGTCGGAAATTTGTCGGAAATATCCGACAAAATTCCGACAAATATTTCCGACAACATTTCCGAAAAATAGTTTTCGTCGATGATTTCCGACGAATTTCCGACAACTTATGGTTTCCGACCAGAGAATTCCGACGAATGTGATTTTGTCGGAAATGTGTCGGAATATGCTATTTCCGACGAATTTCCGACCAATATCTTTGTCGGAAATTGTGATGTTTTCTTGTAGTGTTCAGTTACAATCCAGGACAAGAGGAGATGGTGTTGGCGGCAGAGAGGTTTTGTCTTTCGGAGGCGAAGGAGTTGGTGTTGAAAGTGACAGGGATGGTGTTGATGGAGCACGATGGTGAGAAGTGAGGGTTATGGTTGAGAAAGTAAGGGTTGTGGTCGGGAGAAGAATGAAGGAAGATACATAGGGAGGATGTAAAATAGTCACTTCTCCATCTCTGAAAATACCTAATTTGTAATCAGTGAAAAATGTTCATTTTCTCAAAGATTTAGTCCATAAAAAGCCCAAACAGCAATAGTTTCTTGAAATTAATGCAGGTTAGTTTTATAATTACTGATGAAAGTCTTTGTTAATCGCATAATTAGCGTAGGATTAATGCCATGAAAGTGAACTAGTTTACATTTATATTTTAAAACCAATGGATTAACATTGTTAGATTGATAAAACATTTTGCATTAATTAATAATTACCCTAATCTAGGTCCAAGGATTTGTTCTTTATCTATAGCTTAAATTATTTCCCGCTTTGTTTACATTAAAACTTGTTAGTTTAATTAGATGAAAACCAAAACAAATCTTTATTAGCTTAGATTTAATGATTACATGTATTCCTAATGTGTTAATGATTTGTTCGTTGAGGTTTGATACACTTCTATTGTAATGATTTGTCATATATTTGTGGCAAGAGTGATTAAGGATTAAAACTTAATAGGTATCACATCTTAGATGTAAGGAAAGAAAGTTCTGAAATTTTTATATTGTAACTAAATATAATAAAATTATCATTACTATAATATTATATACAATCCATAACAAAACAAAAGAAGATTTTACGATGGAGATCGTGACTCACACCATGTCACATGTGAATTGTAGTTGACATAACAAACAAATAAAAGACGAATGAGAAAAGTAGAAAACAGAAATGTTACAAAAAGGAAGAAGCATAAACATAATAGAAATTGGCCCCATCAAATAATTAAACAAACCAAAACTAAAGCTGTTCTTGATATGATATCCAACCAAATAATCACACTTATTGTTAACCCTTACCCATTTTTATATCATTCTTTTGTGTATATGCATATAAAAGTTCACGTTTATGATTTAGCCTATAGAATTGAATGAACTGCCAAACAATAAATTGTCGGTTTGGTACGACAAAAGAGATAGAAACTAAACTTCCACTGATTGGGTAACTGAATTTCCTGTGTGCATGACCCATAGTAAGTTTTATTTTATTAGTTTGGCCCTTGATAATTGGATTAATGGCACACATTTTTTTAACTAAGTTTTAAACTTAGCATACCTCTTTCTTATATGAAAAAGTTAAACAAATGTGATGAATTTAATAGAGAAAAAATATTGAATATGATAGAGAAAAAATATTGAATATGATAGTGAAAAAGATTGAATTAATTTGATCGCATCGTTTACTATATTGTCTTCGGTGTTCATTTTTTTGTCGACCAGCGATCAGCGTTTATAGTATATTAAATTAAAACATCATCGTTACGTTTCCATATACATGTAAGAGTCCCGTTTTGTGGGATCAATAACATGCATTAAAATCGATACTTAAATTTTCAGGATATCGTCAAAATTAAAAGATAACTCACGTTTAAATCATGAATTTTTTTATAAAAAAAAATACTTTCCCTGATTCTAAAAGATAGAGTTTCCAGATTTTTTTGTTTCTTAAAGATAGATTTTTTTAAGTTTTTCTATGTATTTTTAAAAATTTAATAATAACAAATCGTTGACTTTAAAACTATTGAATGAAAAAATAAATTTCTAAAATTACTATTGGTTTAGAGTTATAGGTGGTTGCTTAGTACAAAAATGATTCATTTATTTAAAATTATATTTTTAATATGTGTGAAAACTCTATGAACTTAATTATTTTCTTATAATAGTCTTTTAATAGTAATACTACAATTTGCTTCTAGCAATGATTAATAAATAAGTTAAAATTATTTATTTTTCTTATTCTTCTAATATTTGTTTTTCATTTACTACATTTGTTTAGTTTAAGTGGATCCCTTATAATTTAGTGGTATATTTGTATAATAAACATGCCTAGAAAACCGATTCTCCATTCACATAAAAGATAAAACTATACTACATATAAATGATTAAGTTACAATAATACATCATTTTCTAGTTTCAATTTGATTTCTGTAAATCTTTTTGTATACAACAAAGTTTTAGTATAAAATAAATTCACATCAATATTAATGAAATATTCATTTATTATAAGGAAAAAGTAAATAACCTTTTACAAGAAATTTGCCTCTTTTCCCAGTGTACAGATTCTCCATTTTAATTTTTTGTTCTTCTTTATCCATGTTTTTTTTTATATCTCTTCTTAGGTTATTTTTTTTTTCAGTTTTTCGTTAATATACTCTCTATTTAAGTGATAAAGGCAAGTTGCAAAAGAGGGTGTGTGTTTGCCCCACTCCTCACATAATGTTATAATACTACAATCTTCGAAGTTTTCGCAATTCACATTCCTTTTTTCCAAGTCCCAATACATACACATATACATATATACATACACATACACACCCAAACGTTATGTAACTGCAAAAAATATATCAAAACGAGATTCCACAATTATAGTCTCTAGTCAAAGAGCTTCATGGCAATGGTGTGACCCCAAAGTTAGTCTTCACATGTTTCTTAACTTTCAAACATTGAAATTTTTTTCCTTTTATAAATAGTTAAGACTTATCTTCATTTTCTAAAAAAAGTTAAGATTTATTTCCTTAAAAATTTATTATTTTCCTTTCTAAGAATAATTGTTAGATTTATTTTCTTTTTTTTGTTATCATTATTCTGTGTGCTTGTATAGATTGATGTAAGTGAGGAATTGGGAGAAGAAGTGAAGAACACAAGATGTGTCTTCTTCTTCTAAGTCACTAAAAACATCAACAAAGAGAGAAAGCAAGCCATTATTAGAGAGAAGAGATTTATCCAAAAAGTTTTTTGCAATTATTCTTGGAGTTAGTAATGCCAGTCCCTCTTGCACCATATCCAACACCTCCCGCACCGGCACTGGTCCCGTCGTACAGTCCTCCTCCGGCTAATGGTAATATCTTTCTTCAATTGAAAAACAAATTTTAATCCAAAAAGATCCTCTGTTTTCATCTTCTTTGACAAAAGCTTTAGTGTTTTTGTAAAAGAATTAAAATCATTTTGGATTTTTTACTTTATTAAATAAGATTGTTTTTGTTCATCGATTTTTCTAAAGATCAAATATTTTCAGATTCTCAATTTGTTCACCATGTTGATAAATTATTTTCCCAGAAACCCATTTATTTATTCCACATATATTCAATAATCCATTAAATTTTATTTTATTTTTCCCAAAAAATATAAATAAACAATTTGAGAGTTGTAGGAAGTACAAGTGGGCAGAGCCAGTTAGTGTGTTCAGGTTGCAGAAACCTTCTGATGTATCCCGTCGGAGCAACCTCCGTCTGTTGCGCCGTCTGTAACGCCGTCACGGCTGTTCCTCCGCCTGGTAATAATCCGTTAAATCATAAAAACGTTTGGTTAAAGAGATCTTTGAGTTTTGTAATAATAGATTAGGCAATGCAGGAACGGAAATGGCACAGTTGGTATGTGGAGGATGTCATACACTTTTAATGTACATTCGTGGAGCTACAAGTGTTCAATGTTCTTGTTGTCACACTGTTAATCTTGCCCTCGAAGGTTTCATTAGAAATACATGCATATTGATCTTTATATTTGGTGTTTAATCAGATTTCTTATTGATTGTTTTTTTTTTTGGGTGTCTGCTTTAGGGAATACAACATTAGAAAAAACGAAAAACATATATAAAATTAGTTTTACGATCGAGTTCGTTATATATTAAAGATTTATTACATGTTGTCGTTTATCGACAATGTGTATTATACGGATTTAAACCCAGATTATATTGTACACTAGGAAAAAATATTATATTGTATGTTCTAGTTAATTTTTTATGTTTTTATTAAAAAAAAATTAAAAAAAATTATATTTACTTTTGGTTTTTACGATAAAAAAACACCAATTTTGTTTATATGTGGGTCTAGTTTAGTTTCGGTTTTGGAATATAAAATAAAACCAATTAATACCGAATTTTGTTTTTTTGTTTTTTTTTTTTTTTTTTTTTAAGTCTAGTTTAGTGTATTAGTATTACTAACTTTCATGTCTTGCAAATGTAATCAGCGAACCAGGTAGCGCATGTGAATTGCGGAAACTGCAAGATGCTACTAATGTATCAATATGGAGCAAGATCAGTGAAATGTGCCGTTTGTAACTTTATCACCACTGTTGGGGTTAGTTCTCTTTGTCCAAAAAAAATTAGTTTTAAATCCGTCGCAAAACTAACCAAATTACAAATATATTTTTTAACATCAGAATGTTTCTTTATATAATGTTTTGTTCTTGGTTGCTGTTGTTTTAAATAATTGCTTGTAGGGTTCGACGAGCACGACTGATTTGAAGTTTAACAATTAAAACAATTGGGTCTACCTATCAATATATTGAGTTATGAGCAATATAGAGGAAGCATCAAATCTTTTTTTTTTTTTTCTCTCTCTCTCTCTCTTCGATCAAGAATCCGGCATTGAGATGTTATGAGTTTGAAACCATCTTCGGAAGTAAATTAAATATGTAATTCGTCGAAATTTCTGACTTTGGTCTCTTTGTCCGTTTGTATAGAGCTATCTCTCTTCTTTGGTTTTTGTTTTGTAGTTATTTTCTCTCAAGAAAAATTTGATTCACCAGTTTGTAATTAAGAGTGATTCAGAAATCAAAGCTAGACTTTGTGGATGAAGGAAATAGATTGTTTTAAATGCTAATGCATATAATATGAAGGCTATTTTCCTTTCAAGCATTTTAAAGCACAAAGGACGTCGGTGCCCATAATCTAGATTTTGAATAGAAATATATAGTTTGATCACTAATGAATATTTTCATCAAAACATATTTACAGTACTAAGAAAATTTAGAAATGTGAAGTGAACTTACAAATGAAAATACATGTAAGAAAACTTTATACCAAAAAAAAAAACGTAAGAAAACTTGTGGTGTACATCAATTCACAATATATTACCAACGTAAGAAAACGTAAGAAAACTAACCGCTGATTCTAAATTTAATACGTTCAAATTTTGCAACTAAAGTTTTTACTTGCTAGTCCTAAAAATAAATTGTTTAACCAATAGCTATAAAGTATTATTAGAATGTGGTTTGGAATGAAGAAACCCATAAACCTTATATATATTAGTGTAGAATTATCGAGGTGGGACATTCTAAGAAGTATAAACCAAACAAAATTTAATCGTATTACAAAACAAAACAATGGGACGAATATGTAATAAATAAAACAGAACTCGAAAAGGTTTTGTCCCTCGATATTGACTAAAGTCTGAATAATTCCACGCAATCTGTCTATGGATAATTGGGGTGGACTTCACTCACGGGTTCATATATGATTTGATATTTGGTTGGTTTAAGTGTCTTTCGACTGTCTTTTCGTTTCTTTGGATCACGGCAAGATTTTTGACATAGATATATTTGAACATTTGCTTGGAGATTTTTTTAAGGATAAGCTTAATTTCGTTTTCTTGTCTGATGTTCTACGTAGAAGAAGATGCATGTGACTTTGAGATAGATATCGCTTGATTTCCTTTTATAATTTAATGCTCATTTTTGACTAGTCAATTTATCTGGATTAACCAAAACTAAGGCTATGATCGGTAACCAATTTTAAAGCTAGCTGTACAAGCTGTACAGCTTTGACAGTTACCAATTACAAAAATTTTATGAAAAGCGGTATACTATAACATGAACTGTTTTTTGGACAAAAACAAAAATAAATTAAAACGGTTACGGTTAAATACAATTATAGTTAAATACGGTTACGATTAAATACGGTTATAACGGTTACAGTTAAATACGGTTATACGGTTACGGTTAAATACGGTTACGGTTACGGTTACAACGGTTACGAATAATTACGGTTATAGTTATTTGATGACTACAATACGGTTAATATCGGAGGCGAAATCTTACGAGTTACCTAACTTATTATAATACTTTTCATAAAATCAAAAAGTATGTTACAAACCAAATTTTCTTCATTTCGAGCAAAATAACAGTATAACATATTTGTTTGAGAAAAAGACCATTTTTTATAACGTAAATTTTTTCATATGCGGTATCATTTACTTTTTTGAAAATCTTAATCTGAACATTCGATAATTTTTTTTGCATTATATGGAGCTACAATTATATTTTTAAAGTTTTAACTATGTGGTTAACCATATGGTTAAATAACGGTTTTTATATGTTTACCGTTAATTAACGGTTACGGTTAATATATTTTTTAACTGTAAGTAATTATTTTTTACGGTTACGGTTTTTAACCGTTTTATATGGTTACGGTTGAGAAACGGTCCGGTTACGGTACAGCATATGGTTACAGTTAGCTTTTGGTCATGCCTAGTAAGCATGACTAAAAGCTAACCATAACCGTATTTTGGATCGTAAGTGGACCGTTTTTCAACCGTAACTGTATAAAACGGTTAAAAACCATAACCATTCACCGTAAAACTAGATTAGTTACGGTTAAAAAAAATATACTAACCGTAACCGTTAATATACCAGAAACGTATCAAAACCGTTATTTAACAGTACGATTAGCCGCACGGTTAACCGTATTATTAACCGCATAATTAAACTTTATAAAATATAATTGTAACTATGTATAATGCAAAAAAAAAGTCTCGAATGTTCAGATAAAGATTTCCGAAAAAGTAAATAATACAGCCTATGAAAAAATCTCATTAGAAATAATGGTTTTTTTCTCAAACAATTATTTTGGAATGTTATATTGCTCAAAATAAAGAAAATTTTATTTATTATAGGACTAGTAAATTCATATTATTATTCTAACAATAAAATATTGTTCATTCTATATAATCTTAATTTTCATATGTAATTATATACTAAATTACATTTCTATGTTATTTTTTTTTTCTTTCTAAATTCTTAATATTATTTATTATGTGTACCGCTATGATGTTTCCAATCAGAATAAATTTTTAAAATTTGTTCTACGTTATTTTTTTGTACAGCTTTCGTGTTTTATTCTTTTGTACAGTTTTGCAATATTCCCTAACAGCTAACAGCTCCAGCTAACCGTTCCAGCTAACAGCTAACAGCTTGTTACTAATCAGATCCTAAATTGCGACTAACAGTAGTTTGATATAAGGGTAAAAAAAAAAAATCAAGAATTTCGGAAAAAATCAAGAATTTCGGCAGCCAAATCTATCGATACACATTTGACATTTCCTGTCAGTGTCACGTCACTTACCAAAAACTAATGGCTAAAATCTCTGACCATATCAAATACTGCAAGGTATCATATCCAACTTTTGTTCCATACTAATCTGGCATTAAAAAATGTCAATAATATGATACGGCACACCAAAACGATATTTATATATATCACAAGCTAACAAAATCATGGCTATTAACTAACTTACAAACAAGCTTTAATACATTTTTAGTGTAAAAAACCCTTCTCAATAAAAGATATTACTAAAAAAAAAAAATTGAAATATATATAAACGCCATTCAATATTTTTCACATCGAATAAAAAAAGGGTTCTACCATTATTTTAAAAGTCAAATTTCATGTAATCTTTTCTTTGTCTTTTATATACTATTTCTCCCCCGTTTTATAAGATATTTTGTCTCAAAGAACAAAGATAAAAAAAGAAATATTTATCCATTTTTAAAAAAATTCAATCAATAGAAAAAAAAATACTGCACAATTAAAATAGTCACAAATTATTAAGTCAATATAAATTGTGCATAGAAACTTGAGAAATCTAATAAAATGGAACAAAACAAAGTCTACATAATATTATGTTAATATAAACTGTGCATAGAAAATAGAGAAAGTATTTATTCATTTTGATCAGGAACACATTCTATATGTTTTTCTAAAAATCTACATTAAAATTCTAAAACGATATTATTGTTTTAAAATAATAATTGAAAATGACATTTATTGTGATACGAAGAAAACAATTTAGTTTTTTTTCTTAAACAAATAGTATTAAGTGAAAATTGCAATGTTTTGCTTTTAGATTAAAAAAGTAAGTAAAACATATGAACTTTAAAACAAACATAGAAAAAAAATAACTAGTATTAAGTGAAAATTGCAATGTTTTGCTTAGTTAGATAAAAAAAGCAAGTAAAACATATGAACTTTAAAACAATCATAGAATAATCACACACACAAAAAAAAAAAAAAAAAACGAACCCCAATTACTCTAAGATGAAAAATACTCTACCATACTAAAAAAGTACATCAAACATCGAGTAGTCCATTGAAAATCTGACAGCTTTTTAGCAACTGCCAAACTAAATCAGACCCAAAATCATCGGGTTTTTGCACACACAGGTTGAGACAGCCAGACAGGAACATATCACTACAGAAATGTCAGGAAAGGTTGGTGAGTGTTTTTCAATCGGTTTTCATCTTAAGTGTCGTTTTGTCAAAACAGACCAATTCTATGAAAATATCAAAGAGGTATATTCTATGCAATGTTCTAGACCTTCTAGTAATTTTACATACATAAGAATAAAGTTTGGTAGATGATAACAAAGGAACAAAGAATTATATACCAAAAGCATTTCATATGCCCACATTGTTATCATCATCTCTTACGGTCACAAAAGCATTACCTTTCCTTCTCACATGGACCACAAATATGTAATTATGTGTTCCATGTCCAAAATTGAATTATTGACACTATTACTTAGGACCAAGGGTTACAGTTAACCAGAGGCTTGAGATACGCAAACAAAACCATGTTGGGATTTGGAGTTATAAGGTTCAGAAGTTTTTCATAAAATGTTGAATTGTAGGGAAGTTTTATCGGAATATCGTTGAGTTCACTAAGAGATTTACGAGGATGCACCATGAGATTCAGGACTAAGAAAGTTGAACTCACTAGTCTCTTCTAATACAGAAAGTTTGCGACTTTACATGCTTCTTTTTGCTTCTACTCGTCTCCCATGGCGAGTTCAAGGGCGTAATCGTCTCTTTCCTGCAGTGTAACATCGATAAAACTGTTAAAAGACCAGTGCCTATAAAGACTAAAAGAACATTAAATCATTTTGAACCCTGATAATAATAATGCTAAGTTTGATCTCTTTGACAACATCAAATCCATTACTAGTCCTAGTGAACGGCCTCCAATTAAAATTAACAAATAACTAAGTTTCTTAACAGCTTACAATCTATAGTATCTATCGATTGAGCTAGATACACTTCACCACTAGTCTTTTGACTTATACGTTGTTGCATGATAGGAGTACCAAAAGCCCTGAGTTTCTTAACGGATTGCAGTCTATCCATTTATCTAGATATACTTCACCATTAGTCTTCCTATTGATTTGTTGATTTATTTTTACTTAAAAGACTTGTAACAATAAGAGTAAGACTATTTTGTTTGCTCAGATGACTTACAATTGGTCCACGGGCGAAGTATCTTCCGAATTGTAACCAGTAGACCTGTGTGATCCATACGAGTTAGAACTGTGTAACTAAAATGAAATGAGAGAATACATGTATTGTTGCAGCAATTCTTGGATTTTCAGAAGAGTAAATTTTATAATAAGTTACCTCGTCCTCGTCTTGTGTTTCTACTTCAAGGTCGGATGTAGGGAAACCCACACAAAGAAGTGCATATCCCTGCATGTATAAACCACCCTCAAAGTTATTACTACCCTCAAAGTTAAAACCTATGCTTCAATATAATTGATTTCTAAGAAGAGGAAGTTGCTCCACCTATAATACATTAAACATTTGCTAAACGCTAACAGTTAGATAAGTCAAGCGATGAGATTCACTTAGGAAAATGCAACCTTGCAATTATGAGATTAGTTAAAGCTTCACATTGTTTTCGTTGATTCAATAAGAGTTGGACCTAGTTTTTCACAGACACTGACTATCATCATCACAAACTGTCTCTGTAGTTCCAGCCTACTTGTGTTTCTGGCCATATCACAAACCTACCTCCCTAAAGCCTAAGGTAAAGGGATATTATTACCTGGGACTTCAGTTCTGCTGATATTCCCAATGCTTGTGGCTGCCTAAGCTCTCCAGATTTTACACGTACGGCACAACTAGTACAGCAACCTGCCAACACAAGATTGTAATCTCAAATTGTAGACGAGATACACAACTAAGTTTAGCACTTAGCCAAAGCATACTTTTAACATGTAAATCTCACAGGAATATTTTTCATGCATATAGCTCTAACATAATTCAACTAGTGTTGGATTATCCTAATCATCTACATCATCTTTAAAGTTTCAAATATCTACATACACTTTTGAAGGTCCTAGAAACTAAATGAAAACGGGTCAAGAGAACAGTACCATGCCTGCAAGCAAACGGAAGAGTAATGTTCTGAGATTCAGCTGAGTGCAATATATACTGATCCTGCATTTCAAATACATTTCCACATATCAACAAAAGGAAACCGGTGATAAGCCAGACAACACGGTTATATCAACCACACTAAACAAAGTCCAGACGTAAGAATCGTTACAAAACTACAAGTTGATTCATATTTGTTTAAACCAAAAGAGCCACAAGCAGCAAATTCGTTCTAATATCCTCCGCTTACGCATAACGAACATCGAAATGGAAGCAAGAGAGCAACAAAACCTAAGTAGAATCAAAATTAACTTAGCCAGAAGAAATATCTCAAATCTTAGCAACGAATCCTAGGTCCAAAACTTGAATCTCGACACACCTGAGCATACATTGCATATCTAAAGCATACTATTCTCTAATTCCAGCTTCTATTCTGATATAGCAAACGAATAATCATCATAATCTTGTATCTCATGCTAATGTGATTCAATTGTGTCGCGAATCAAAATCAAAGAGACTTTACGGATCAAAATCTAACCTCTGGAACCTCGAATTCGTGAACAACTCCTCGTTGTCGATCGTGAACAGTGACCTTATGGGAAGGAACAACCAACGATCCTCTATCTGATGGAGTGGAAACTTCTACAGGAATTCGGAACTCACACGTCGTAGTCGTAGCTCCTCGACGGAGATTCGGAAAATATCTCCGATTAATCGGAAAATTCTTCTGCTGAAGAGAAGTACAAAATGTACACGGCAAAATCAGAGCCATGCTTTTGGGAGATTTTGATTTTCGCGGCTTTACTAGTCGAGAGGTTGAAGAAGATAGGAGAGTGTTCCTGGAAAAAAAATAAAAGACCAACCCATTCGCTGCTAAATCGAAAACCGGAAGTGTTTTTTGATTGAATTTCCGGTTTACAAACATCAAATCCTAAACCGGCTAATTAAATCACAAAATCCCGGTAGAGGCGGTGCGTAATGGATTATCTGGATTAGGCCAGCGAAGCATCTATCTATACGTGGCAGCTAATTAGAATGTCCGGTTTACAAATAATTCAATAATCATCAAGGAATAAACCGGCCAATTAAACCACCAAATTCACCTAAATATTAAACCAATCCGGTTGGGGCGGTGCGTGTAAATGGATATCAGATTAGGCCAGCGAAGCATCTATACGTGGCAGCTAGATAGAAAGCTGGGAATTAAAACAAGACACGTGGCGACATTAATAACACGTGGAATTAATGTGACCCATTTGGACCGACGAAGCTATGCATTCATTTTTTATTTAAATCAAACAAGAACCAATTCAATTGGTAACTAGAGAAACACAAAACAAAGAAGAAGAAAAAAATGCAATCGGCGAAACAGAAGATAAGCGATATGGCTAGTACAGCCAAAGAGAAGATAGTTATGTGTCAAGCAAAAGCTGATGAGAAGGTTCTAAATCGAATTATGCTAATGATTTTCTTAACGTAATTAATAAGATTCATTAGTTATGAATTGTTTGATTGATTCAAATATTAATGATGGTGCAGGCCGAGCAGGCGATGGCGAGGACGAAAGAGGAGAAAGAGATAGCGCACCAGCGAAGAAAGGCGAAGGAAGCAGAGGCGAATATGGATATGCACATGGCTAAAGCGGCTCATGCTGAAGACAAGCTAATGACTAAGCAATCTCATTACCACGTTGGTCATGGTCCACATGTGCCTCAACACGGTCCTATACCGGCTCCAGCGCCGGTCATGGGGCATGGTTACGGGCATAATCCTACTGGAGTTGCCTCGGTGCCTCCACCGGTGTATCCTCCCACGGGGCATCATCAGGCTTATCCTCCCACGGGGCATCGTAATAATTACGGAAACGACTTGCTCTAGTTCTTTTTTTTTTTTTTTTTTTTTTGTATTTTAATCGTGTTGTGTTTGATAGATTTTTGGACTGCCTTTAATATTAAGTAAGTTGTATGAAAGCCGTTAAACAAAACAAAAGAAAGAAAGAAAGAACTTAGGCGTTGTAGGATGTTGCTATATTATATATTTTTGTTAAAAGGCTTTAATATCTTGGTTATTTATTTTTTTTTTGAATAACCGCGGGTCTCCCAAAAGCTTCCTAGGTCCAAGGACTAATCCCACGAGGCTGGCAATTCCCCTATGTAAACCTGCCAGTGGCCGTGCCTCGAACCCTGGTGGCCTATCTTGGTTATTCCATGCACTTGTATTTCATGAGTGACTCACAATAGAAAGTTAGCACAATAAATCTGAAAAAGGCATGCAGCACAAACATTTTTTTGGTATTCTCTAATGATTTGGCTAACTGATATATTTTCATGAGCTTATTGTCAAAACAGGCATTTTGTAAACAATTCTTTCAAAATAGGCACTCTAAACAGTAAAAGCATATAATAACTCCAAATTTCACTGTTACAGACTTTTTTGTCCTTAGATTATGAGCTAGAGTTTGGAGTGAAAAAAATTATCTTCTAAAAAATGTATACCCATCTCTGATTCGATTTTAAGTCTCTTTTGACATTCAGAGATATGTGGCTTCGATGGTGGACTTGCAGCTTCGGCAGTAGGCGTGAAGTTTCGGCGGTAGCACAAAGCTTTGGTGGTGGTTCATGGCTTTGACGGTGGAGGGTCACGAACGGCGTTGATGGTGGACGCTATACCCTAGAATTGGACTTGTAAACCCAAACCGTCTAATCGACAGTCTGCAACCCAAACACAATATCACCTAAAAACGCCAAGATTAGATCTTGAATTGAATTAGTTCCACGTCGCGACCTCCAACAAAAATCACCGAACAAAAAATCGTGTAAATCGTAATACCAAACCGTAGGACTTTTTTGTTTTTTTTTTCAGATCTACGAAATGTGGAATGTTAAAAATCGAGATCGCATCTCATGAATCGCAACCAATTGCTAGTCGTCTGAATCTGCCATCGTTGCTGACATCCCTCTCCGATCGATGACTCCGACGTTGTTGGTGTTGGTCGCAAGTATTTTTGGTTTCCAGTGTAAAGCGTAAAAGTCCATCAGCAAAAAAAAACCAACGTCATCTCTCTGTCATGATATAAACGACTTTTCACAGGAGAGAAGTACCTAAATCAAAAGATCATTTCAAAAGTGCCTAAAATAAAATATATATCCAAGACAAATGCCTATTTTGAAATTAACTCTATTTTCATTATCTCAAAACTTTTGACATTTTAATCTCTAAAATGGTCCTTACTCCTGGCCGACAAAAAAAAAAAATTGGTCCTTACTCTTATGTCATATTTATTGAGCGCACTATTTAAAGTATATAAATAATGTTTTATCGGATTTATGATATGTTATTTCTTCATTATTAACTTGTAATAAACAAAAGGGTTTTCTGCAAAACAACCTTCTAAGTCAATTTCGTTTGCAAATTTATCCTCCAAATCCAAATTATGCAAGTCAACCCTACAATCTCAAAAGTCACCCGCAATACTGTCATCCCGTGTAGCGATGACGTGACACTCAATAACTCCGTTTGAAAATATAAGAGGTTTTGCAAAAAAAAACTCCTCCATATAATTCTTTTTTGCAGATAAACCTCCCTGTCAAATAAATGCAGGCAAACCACAA